GTAAAGGTCAAGCCCTGTCACTCGACTTGGGATAAGAATTCTTTTTCTCAAAATCTTCTTATTCTCCTGGCCAGTTCCTCTCCGCGAACTATTAGATCTATCTTAGCTTTTTATGAGAATACTATCGAGTTACGAAGTAACGTAAGAGCGATTAAGCGTAAGAGCGTAGTTTACGTAGCGTAAGAGCTTTTTCAAAGAAAAAAGCGATAGCTAGAGCGAGCGGAATACTTGAAGCGAGTATATAAAGAACTAGAGTAGAAAAAGCGACTAGTTGGAGAGAGGGGAAGAGCTTCACTCAATCCCTGCCTTTGCATCTTTCTTCTCTGAGCCCGGTATCAAAATGCTTTACTATCTCCCCGAATGAGACAGATTTCCTCTCTCTGCTCTGGAATCAGGAAGGAGAATGCCACTATGGGAAAATAGAATGAGCATGCGTCGGCCTATGCTCAGGGTCACTCTTTTCATAATCTTTCTAAAGTCAAGTCACATCTTTTTGAACTTGATTGAATTCCGGGCGTCGGAGATACACTAAAAAGAAAAAGAAATGAGCTAGATTCGCCACCGGTTAAGGAAAAGAAGAATGATGAGATCGGGTAGCCCGCTTGATTGAGTACTTAGGTCAGACTAGGTTTTGGACTTTCTAACTGAACAATTTCCTAAGGTGAACTATGCCGCCTATGCCCCCCCCAACAAGAGTATTGGCGTCTAAGGGTTCTCAACAAGCGGTCAAGTTGGTAGGCGAAGATCGGCTATAATTGAAGTGATTGGCGGGGAGCAGCTGATAATCAAAGCGATTGCCTCCCCCAGCCTCTTCCGTTTTGCCATACAATCCAGAACTTTCTCTTTTATCCGTGGAGGAGAACCCCTTACAATGCCAGCCGCCACTCTCCCGCCGGTAGAGCCACTTGTCTTGCCATTGACCTTCCTCTCTTCATGGACAATAGTTGGACTGATGGCACCTGGGAGTTTGGATGCATCCACATTCCCCACAGTGTTGGCACTGATGACAGCTCCATTGCTCACTTCTCCAGTATTCATAAGGTTGCCAAATGGGTTTGAAGCTTCCCCAGCTCGAAGGCCCGTCCCTCCCTTTATTCCAGGATTAAAATCACGCCCATTTGGGCTTTCAACTCTTCAATCTCTTCCCTCAGACTCTCAGTCTTCCCATTGATACCAGGAATAACAGAGGAGAATGAAGCAACTCGTTCACCCCTACCCACACGGCTACCATCGTCCAGAGCTCCACCATCTTTCCTTTCCTTCAGCCCAGAATACTCAACGTGGCTTGATTCAGGACCAGAAACCAGATCCTTTTCCATAAAGCTGCTAGCAGAACCTTCATTTCCATGAAACCTTCCTCTGCTGCCACATCTCCCCTTTTAGCTTCTCACTACTCAGATCAGCGACAGCTGCAGCCTCCATGGCCGAATCTAACACCTGATGGATATCTAGCTGCCTTATCCGAAAGAAGAGCCCTAAAGACTTTGCGTTCCATTAAAGATGATAACGGCCACATGGTTAATGGGGAGACTAGCATCAAGGCTGCTGCATTTTATCATTTCCAAAAGATCTTGGGGACAGATCAGATCTTGCAATGTAAACTGAAATTTTTTAAAAAGTACTCAAATAGGTAGGGTGACTTTTTTAACCAACTATTCCATTTTCCGATCCAAAGAGAAGAAAGAGAGAAGAAAGGAACGAAAAAGAAAATAGAAGTTGCTAACTCGAAATCAAATTCTGAAAGATTTCGTTGAAATGTTGAATCCACTTTTATTCTTTCTCTTTTCGAACTTATTATAATTTAAGAAATTCGAAAATTCAAAGAAGGGAAGGGGAGGGATTAGTCACTGATATTTGATTATATCTCTAATCGTCTTCACCCCCTCCCATGTCAATAACTAGAACGAGAATTAAAAAAAGGAGAATATCAACGGGAATAAACGATTGATCTCTATCAATAGACCTGCTAAAGACCCAAACCATAAAGTACTTACTACCGGTGCCACGGAGAGATATGTTTTTAGATCTCGCATTTTAAATCCTCCTTATTTATTGTAATTTGTAATACATATATGATCAGACATATATGTAATTAATGATCACTTGTATTTGTACGCGGAATGCCTAATTCAAATTGAAATGTACAACGATTCAGTAGCTATTCCTTTTCTTAAAAAAAAAAGAAAAAAGTCAAATGAAAAGGACTTTGCAGAACGATCTATAAAACAATTGATATGGTTTGAGTTTGATTCTTCAACTCAATTAGTAGTACTTCTAGAGTCCACTTCTACCCGAGTGAAAGAGAAAATGTAAAGACTACCATTAAAGCAGCCCAAGCGAGACTTACTATATCCATGTGAATTATATCCCCTAGCTCTATAAATATGAAGGAATTATTCCATTATTGTTCACTAATCATTATTATGTTCATTAAGAATAGTGGAATCCCTGGCGAAGAGTCAAAAGGGGATTCTAACCTGATGAAACAATCCAATAAACTCACAATTATAAAAGTTTCTTATATGATTTCTAGTAGAATCGGAAAACATTAAGCACAAGCAAAATACGTAGATACACCCCTGGAAGTTTCAAGGGAATGGTACTAACATGTAGTAATAATAAGACCTAGTCTTTTTTTTGTTGACCTTCATTTCATTAAGTAAAAAGTATCAAAATATAGAGTCAAGATAGATCACTATCTATCACATACCCCTAATTTCGCATTTTAGCTAATCCTTACGTTACGTCTCCTGCTTGTCTATGTGAAACAATCAGAAGATAGTCTATTACATTAAAGACAATTATCTTTTCATACGAATAAAGTATCTTTCGACCTTTCCGCAACTAATAATGAAATTCCTCGTTCGTCTATCCAAATTAATTGAAGACCCAGTTAATAAACACTACATTAATAACAGCTCTGTCATATCAAGATTTAACGATTCTTTTTCATTCAAAATTCACTAATATAATCTTTCCGTGAATGGAAGCCTAGACGCAAGGATTTACAGCATTTTCATTTTAGAGACTTTCTGCTTTTCCGATATATTATAGATAACAAAAAATGACATCAGAATAGAACAAGCCGATACCTGCCCGGAGGTTGCCCAATGGCGAGTGTAGCGAAGGTCACCTCCCATCCCGTGAAGGGGCATACGTCATAAGGGGGCGGGGGCTATAGTGGTAGCAGCGGTATCCCATTGGATTTAGTAGAGATTGAGTTGGTGTTCAGTGTACCTTAGTACAAGATTGAAAAGAATGCTTTTTCATTCCAAGTGCAAGTAAAAATCCCATGCTTTTCTTGGTTAACCGCCAAGCTACCCTCATTAAGTAAGACTGTTGGTCTTGCTAAAGAGAAGAGTCTTTAAGCTACCTAAACAAAGAAATAGCCTAAAGCGGAGCAAAAAAAAGAAAGAATCTTTTCTATGAATCCACATATTCTTGGTTTTTTGTCAGACATGATCAGAGACATATTTACAATAGCCGGAGTTGGGTATATTCCTCTCGTAGTGTTACTGGTATTTAGGGCAGGACGCCTGCGAAATTTAAATGAAGAGAATATGGCCGAAAGGCTGGGAGACCTTTGTTTTGACACTATAAAGGAACTCATTAAGGATAAGATAGAAGAGTTGCTCCAAATCTATTATAATCAGAATTTGATTATGCCGCCTGGTCGGGGGTATTTTTGTACGAATTTCTTTTTAGCCCTAACAAGCTCTTTAAAAATGAGAAAAGGTTATCTCATATAGCTGACAAATGATAGATTTGGTTGAACTATCTAGAGTCCCGTTCTTCGGTTGATTTACTTGATTGGCCAGTCGAGCACAAACTCTTAAGAATGGTCGTGAGCGGGAGTCGAACCCACATCTCAGGGCAAAAGACAGACCCGGCGAATTACCTCTATTCCATCACGAGTAACGCGGTTCAGCCACTAAATCCATTCTATAAGGCCTAGTCCGCGGGCAGAATCGGATGCCTGCCGGGGGGCGGATCAGTCCTCATACAACCTCTCTTACAGATATTGAGTGAAGAGCCCCGCCTCACCACTCCCCTTCTGCTTTTCACAGAAGCCACCACAGGTGACTCGCCATGAAAAACGCCTGCCTTTCACGGCGTGAACGAAGTCCTGCTCTGCCCTACTTTGGCCTCTCTCTAGCAAAACACCGGCATTCAAGCCCAAGCCCAGGGAAACTTTAGCCGGCCGTTGCGAGACCAGGGAGCTTTAACAGTTGCTACTTAGACTATGTGCTCAGATTATGCTATTCTATTAGTAGCTTTCGGTCTCGATTCACCCTTGCCTCTACGGGATCAACTACTACTTCGCTTAGGCAAAAGATTGACTAAGTATGTATCTGTCTACATGTGCCTCCGTCTATGTTCCCCCTTCCCCGGAAAGGGGATCAGACGTATAGGACAAAAAAAAAGAAAGAAGAGAAAGAACCGGGAGTTGGCGCCTACATAACTGGTTGCTTGCTTACCAAGCCATCCTGGCAAACTCTTCCGCTTCCGGCAACTTTTCGTAATAAATATACAAGTAAAGCCCCGAGGAGAAGAACAACTTTCGCCCCGGAGAATGGTAATACTTACTACGTACATTCTCATTCTCAAGATTCAACGCTATTCCTTTCACACTGCCCTTCTTTTGAAGGAAAATTCTTTATCCTATTCTGCTAATTCTCTTCTTGTTGCACTATGTCCAAGCTTTTCGATAGCAGTGGAACAAAAGTAACCATCGGATTTAAAGAATGAACCTTCCTTCCAAGATGTATGTCGTCCGACCCAACCTCAGACTCTTTCTTCCCGACCTATTTTACTCTCTGGCCGCAGTTATTTAGGTGGTATCCCGAGATTGAAGAGATCGAATTACTCCCGGGAACACACGAAACAAAGATATGAACTAGGGAAATAGAAATGGAAAAGAGATGTTTCCATTTCATCAAAATCATAAGCTTTTTCTACATCCATATGATCTACTAAAGTAGATCGGTATTGCCCATATAATGAAAGCAGATCTTGGTCCACGGAGTCCCAAGAAGGTAAGAACTCCAACCTGTCCGATGCTTCTTCGGCCAAATACGATATACAAGTGGGACCTGCACTATGAGCAAGCTGTGCGAAAAACCGCTTCTTTTTTCCGGTTTCGCAACAACTTGGGCGAAATGGGGTTCTACCGGGAAACCATGGATTTTTTAGTTTTCGCCATTGGTTACTGGTCGAGCCACTGGAATGGAATGAGATAAGAATCTCTGGAGAGCTTTCCTCTCCACTTACTCGTAACAGGCTTTCCCTCTGTAGAAGACTTCTTCCTAATGGCATAATTGTCCTTCGTTCTTTCTAATTCATTCACTTCAAGGCTGGTTCTGAACGCCGCGTAACATCATCTTCAACCAATCTCCACCGTACGCCTAGGCTTCCAACGGAACGCCTTGCCGCCCCGAAGCTAAGCGCTTGAAAAGCGCGCTAGCCCCGACGCGATGCGATTAGTGAAAGCAGCCGCCTATGCTCCAGGCGGAGATTCTCGACCCTTCTTTCGAGAGAATAGAATTCTTTTTCCATCTTCTCTCCCTCCAGCCCGGCACGATAGAGGCGGGCCTCCTCCTTAAAATAGTGCCTTCCTTTCTCTTCCCAGAAGCGAAGTTCTTTCTGGGCCTCTTCTAACTCCGCCTCGATAATTCTATTTTTGAGGCCGGGTGAAGAGGAAGGTTCCGGCTCCGGGTCCGGAGCCATGTTAAGATCAAATGGGGGTCGTATCCCACTCGATGAAGCAGGGGCATTCATGCCAGTGAGTTCTCCCATCCCCCCTGCGCCGGAGCTTCCTGCGCCAGACGTCCCGGCCGGAAGAGGTACTCCCCCCTCCATGCAAGAGATAAGAGCCCCACCTAGCGCCGAAGCAACGAAACTGGCTCCGCAACTTATCCACACTTCGGGCATTAAGGAGCTTACACCTTTAATAAAAAGAGCCCGCCCTACTCGTGTGGATACCATCCCAAAGAACTCCCACTCCTGGGCCCACCAGCTAAAGAGAAAGAAAAGTACAACTAACATCAAAAAGAAAGTCAATTTGATGAAAAGTGCTCTTTTCTTCCTCTTTAGCTGCGATTCTTCCTGAATAGCCTGGATTCTACCGTCGAGAGTCACTTTGAAAGTATTGCCTAAACTCTTACGACTCAATATGATAAAGCCTATAAAACAACGAGCTACTATCATTTCTTCATTATAGATTGAGATCTTCTTCGAACTTAATGCACAAATAGATGGAATAGCAGCAAATAGCATCTTTCTAGCATGCATATTCGTGGAAGTAAATCTCATTATGAAAGCTTATCTCTATCCCTTCAGCAGCGGAGCGGGCTGTGGATAAATAATTTGTGAAATAACTTTTGAATCGGACGCGCTCGTGATCGCTTAGATCCCCTGCCAACCAAGTCAAAATAAAAAGTAAAGAAGAGGACTTCGTATTAAGGACGAGTTCGATCCATTAGGTTCTTCGATTTGTTCGGAAAAGAAACGAGAGACAAGAAAACATCTTTGATTACGATTAAAAGGAACAATCTCAAATAGACCAAGATAAAATTTCGGGTCATTTCTTGGTGAACATGATCTGCCACAATCTCTTCGATCCCTTCATTTATGTGCCAGAATAAAGAGAGATTTGGTAGGAAAGTGGAAGAGACTTTTTTGTATATGAAAATCAAAGGGAGTGGGAAAGCTGCAGTAATTCTTTGGAAAAGCCCGATTCTCTTTGTCTTCGAGCTTTCATTCCTCAATCCACTGTTTCGTTTCTTCATATACCTCCCCACCAATAGATAGAGACAAATGGGAATAACCGAACCACGTCTACAAAATGCCAGTACCATGCAGCTGCTTCAAAGCCAACGTGATGCTCCTTGGTCAGATGACCAAGATATTGGCGAATACCACATATGATCAAGAAAAGAGTACCTATAATCACATGAAAACCATGAAAGCCAGTTGCTAAGAAAAAGGTAGAACCATAAATACAGTCCGAAATAGTGAAGGGTGCTTGATAATATTCCATTCCTTGAAAGCCAGTGAATACTAGAGCCAGCGAAACGGTAGCTACTAAAGCGTAAACAGCTCGTTTTTCCTTCCCCGCGAGTATAGCATGATGAGCCCAAGTTACGGCAGCTCCGGATGAAAGGAGAATAGGGGTATTAAGAAAAGGGATTTCCCGAGGATCTAAAACCCAAATCCCTTTTGGGGGCCAAATACCTCCGATCTCTACCGTAGGTGCCAAAGAAGAATGAGAAGAAGCCCGAAAAAAAGCAAAAAGGAACATAACCTCCGATACGATGAACGGAATAAAACCATATCGAAGTCCTAATTGTACAACTTTGGTATGATGTCCTTCCAACGTGGATTCACGTAGAACATCGCGCCACCATACGAACATGGTATATAGGATAAATATGAGGCCCAAACTGAGAAGTGTTGCACCCCCTTGAAATGGGTGCATGTACATCACACCTCCTACGGTGGTTGCCAAAGCTCCGAGTGAACCCGAAATAGGCCATGGACTTGGATCTACCAAATGATAAGAATGCCTCTGAGATTCAATCATAAACCACTTAGCCTCGGTTGTATGTAAACCCCCCCTTCACCCCCACCCCCTAAAGTGGTAAAGAGGGGCTTCTAATTTCTTTTTTCTATCTGACAGGACAAACAAATAGGAAGGGGATGGTTCTTTCATTGCATTGATAGAAGTCTAACTAGAAAAAGATCTCTCTATTACTTTGAGAAGAGAATCGTTGGTTTGACCGACGAACTACGTGGGAAAATGGACCTTCTTTCTTTGATTTTCAGCAAGCATTTTTGGAAAGTCACAATTCTATTCAGTTCGGTTTCGGAAAACTAGCTGGTCGCGGATTAGTGCGTTCTGCGCCGCCGGCGTCCTAAAATCAAAGGCGCAGGTTGATCTCTCTGGTTGAGGCTGCATTCATTTTGACACGTGGGAAGTCCTTACTCTCCTAGTGGCTCGGCTTGGTCTCGCTCCCTTCCCGCACTATTCCTCCCCACTAAAAAGATTGATAATCTCGATAACCTTTCTGAACGTCCGTCTTCGCGGGGCGATTTGAAAAGGGGTATATCTTTCTTGTAGTGCCTTCCATTCCACTATTCAGATCGAGAAAGAATCTCTTCCTAACGACCAAGTAATAATGAGATTAAAAAAAGATGCTTCCTTGGCCGTGTGGAACATGGATTAGCATTATGTCATTCCTACAAGTGATCACCCATCCAGGATTGGAAGAAGTGCTATATGAGGACTTCGAGATCAAATCTAATATGTTTCTTTCCATTCCTCGTGAGCCACTTATTTCTCCGAAACAAGAGATCAAAGTGATTTTCCTCCTTTTTCCCAATAAGTCGACGGCGTTACACCATTGGGATACTTCGAATAAACTAGAGTACATATAGGACACACCGGTGCTAAAACATTTTCTCAAGATATCTTCCAAACTGTTGGGGTCGTTGCTCCGGATGTTGTTCCCCCGGTGTGAAACCAGTTGGTTCCGTAGTTTTAGAATTCTGCTGATCCCAAGTACTCCATCTCCATCATTGCATATGGGAATATAGAAAGTAAAGAGGAAAAGGCATGACCAGAAGAATTGTGTGAAATAAGTGAATTTATCCAGTTGAGGCATTCTTGATTGAGAAAAAATGATTCCCTCCAGAAAAAAAGTGGTTCTTACCTTCCTGTACGAGTAGTGAAGAACTATAGAGAGCTGTGGTTGGTTGTTGACCAACGGAAAGCATGGGAGAAAGAAGGAGTCACAGAATTAGATCCAAATTCTGGATAGCCCTACTTACGTTTCTATAGGGAGTGCTCTGCCGAGTGCCATTTCTTTCGATTTGGTCCAAATACTCATCTAAGGTACGTTCAGAAAGCGCGTTCACCCCACGGTTAAAGAGGATTCCCCTTATTTCGAACCTCTTTTGATGGATATCCTCCCGATTATATCCATCGTCCACCAATGCAGCTTCTATCTTTGTTTCTATAGGCACCTGCCTCTCCAGGATTCTCACGAATGGCCCGACGTCCGACCAACTGTTTCTCCCGAGGAAATACAAACTTAACCGTAGCTGAAGTTCCTTCCACCTATCCTCCACGGACATTAAAGGCTCTTCTAGTTGGGGAATTTCAGGTGGGACAGGAATCTGCACCGGTGCCCCTTGGGGAACACCGGTGTCGGGGGGAACCTCCGGATGTAAATTTGGCACGGGAGAAGGAATTCCCCCGTCGCAGGCGGCTATTTGGATGTTTACACAGATTATTAATAAAAACGCTATTGCAAAGAAAAAGGGCCGCATTGTGAGAGGGCGGGAACGAAAAAGAGCAATCAAAACGGGATCCCTTTTCATACGTAGGATAACCGCAGAGGCAACTATAAAAAATGAAAAAAAAAAAAGGTAGTTTACTTGCTTAGTGTGAAACGCTAAGGAAACGGCAGAAAAAATGAATTCGCCCGAAGAGGGCTCGTTTGGAACAAGTTCCACCGGGCCCGAAGTGAAGAATAGCCATTCTAGAAAAAGCATGCCCCCCTTCTTTTTTAACAATATGAAATCCACACTTTGACACCTAAGATTCCGTAACGGGTAGATACTTCCGCAGGAGCATAATCTATTTTCTGGTTAAATACATTACGAGATATTTTTCCATACTTTCCGCATTCAGTTCTAGCAATTTCTGCGCCTTTTGATCGACCTGAACAACATATACGGATCCCCTCAACCCCTTTTTTCATTACTAATGGAATATCCTTCACTATTTTACTAAAAATGGAACGAAATGATCTTGTTTTGTTTCTCAGTTGAAAAGAGATGTCTTGAGCAATCGGAGAAGCACTTTGATAAACAGATTTGATCTTGACCGACTCAATTAAGGTATTAGTGTTTGTTCTATTAGACAACAAAGATCGCATTTTTTTCACTTCGTTCAAATAAGAGTTGTACCCGTACGGAATTCTTCTGTTTCTCAGTATGATCTCTATCATCATCTCTATTCCCCTTATCAATTCTCCTATCCTACCTAGGTCTATGAATTTCTCTATCAATTCCATTACCTTATCCTTACCCATGAGGTTCCAACATTTGATCCTTAATTGACCTAGGAGTTGTTCCCGGGCATCCTCAAAAAAAAGGTTATTATACATCCCAATCCCATCCCTTGGAAAGAAAAAGGTAGCACCGAAAAAAGGAAAGAGCGAGATGGTGGTTTTTG